GGAGTTGTGAAGGTCCCGCCGACGGTGTGGTCTGCGATGTGAGTGTGCGTTTCACATCAGCAACCAGTAGTTTGGTCCCACTCCTAGGGTCTAGGTGTAACTGATCAGGCAGATACAGTCGTCTGTCCTGGGTTAGCTTCCTGTGTTTAATGTACGTGAAGCCTGATGTTTTTGACAGTTTGAGCACCTCTTGGTTGTAAGTCTTTATGTTCTCATTCAAGGGTGACTTGTGATTCGGACCCCTTTGTAGTACCTGAGACACTGCTACTCTCGCTTTTGGGAAGGCTTTCTTTGTTGTCTCTATCAGCTTGTCTGTGTTGCGGAGAGTGTCGTGGACGGAGTTAGGATGCCCTTTGCTGTTGTCTAAATCATTCGATCCGACGTGAAGAATGACAGTCTCGGTTGTGGCATCGTTCATGTTGCTGATGTTGTCGATGGCCGCCTTGATGGTGCTGCTTCGGTGTATCTTGGTAGGATTTCCTTTGAAGACACGTTCTGGGTCTACATCTCGGAAAAGTGAATCTGCAAAGATTCTGACTCCTACATTCTTACTTCCCACATTGCTGTTACCTGTAGACAATGTGTGACTGTTCACAGAAGACGAGGTGTTGACATTGGCACCGGACGTCTGGCCGTCGGGAACAATGGCTGGTTTGTTGTTTTTCGGGTTGGTGGCATCTGGGACAATGTTCTGTGAAGTAGACCCTACATTGTTCTGTACGGCTGTGTTGTTCTGTGAAGTGGACCCGTCATTGTCATGGATGATTTTGTTGTCATGGCCCTTGGTCGTGCAACAATGGCAGGAAGCGATCTTCTGTTCCAGCTCTTTTGACCTGTCCACTAGCACCTGGATTTCTGCGTCTTGTACTTTTATGACACCTTGTAGATCGGCGTTAGAGGCTGACAAAGCATCAACTTTGAGTGACATACCATGAAACCTCTCTTTCCACAAGTTCCTTTCGATCGAGATTTCTCGGGTTGCTTCGTCTTTCTCCTTTTGTGATTTTCTCTCTGTAGGGCCATGTCTTTTATAGACTTGTCGAGGTCAGATTGCAGTTTTGTTGGTAGTTTTTCTTGATGTGTGTTTCGAGTGACTTCTGGGCGGCTTCAATCTGTGTAGCAATGGTGTTCAGGGTCTGTGCGTGGGTCCTCTCTCGTTCTTTCTCTTTCATGATCAGTTCGTCCCTGAATGTGTTGAGCTTTCCGATCGTGTTTACGTATTGTCTCTGTAGATCGCTGAAGGCGCCATCACTCACTTTGATGGACTTTTCAACGGCTGCCACTCTTTCTAGACATTCAGTTACAGGAGAGTTTGACGTACCTGTGACCTTTTGAGGGCCTCTTTCCTTGTCTGTAGCTGCTGTTTTCTCGGCTGTAGGGGGACTCCCCGGGGGGTCATGTAGATCACCGGTTATGGCGTCATCTGGACTTTGCGCGCCATTTTCCAAATCTTGTTGCAACTGTTCTGTGAAGCTACGATCGTTTGAGCTTCCAAATCCATCTAGTGTGCGCGGGAAGGTTGGTTTGCTCATGATTGGTGTCTCGATCACGTTGGTTTGGCGTGGTGTCGCAGGTGTAGACTGTTCATCGCAGATTGCCTGGAAGCTGTTGACGGCGTCCCTGATGCGTTGGGCGCCATCTTTAGCGCTCGACCTTGTTCGTTTGTCAATGTCCAAATTGTTTTTCATTTCAGGGTATAGAATGTCCGCCCACCATTTGGTTTTCTGTCCCTGAACCATCAGACCACTCTTCTTGTGGTAGAAGTGCACTGATAAAATGCCTTTACCTGTCTTTCTTGACGTTGAGGAGTTGACAGACAGACTTGTTGTGCCCGGCGTCGTTTTCCAAGTGACCGTTGTTCCCTTGTTGTTTTCGAAGTTTTTGTCGAAGTTGTCCTTGTGAGCTTGGATCCATTTGTCTAAGTGGCTTGTACGAAGTTTCAACCCACACATTCGAGACTTCTCCGCATCTTCGAAGTCAAAGACTAGGGTTTCGTCTATCGGGATTCTGGCGAGGTTGATGTTCCACGGTTTGGTCGTAGGTGTCTTACCCCTTGGTGTCTTGGGCTCTGTTTCGGCTCCCATTTTTTGGTGATCCTCCTTCGTATTAGATGTCAAAATAGCTCTAAGAATTATAGGATGTATACCGCAAAATATATACTCACATATGCACTAAAATATCTTGCCCCGTGAAGAACTATGATACTCCAAAACAAGTCATAGACGGAGAGCCAACGACGCGTGACCGCACTCGTCCGCCATCTTAGAATATGAATATATGGAGGCCTGCTTGTCCTTTTGAATTACCATCTATTAGTAAGGCCACACCAATTTAATTTCTTGGTCAAAGGATTCGCCGCTTCATTTTTTTCTGATTTGCAAATAAAACACAAATCGAGAATCAACTGCAAAATGCTCATATTTTGCCCTGAACAGTTGAAAACAGTCATTTTCATCCTAGTTGTTACAGTTATTCCATCTTTCAATGCAATGGTATCATTAAAAGTTCAAAATTCATTGTTTAAATTTTGAACCAGCCTGGTGTGTTGCAATTGACTTCATGGCTCCTATCGTACCATTTTGGGCCATAATAGGATGCCTAGGCCTGTTTTTATTTTTTTTTTGCCCGCCCGCTCCATTTTTTTTTTTTAGAAAAATCTGTTAACCAAGAAATTAAATTGGTGTGGCCTAAGATGTTTTGTAAGCTGTGGGCTTTTCAACATAACTATTTAACATCTGTACATTAGCCGTTGGATTTTGGGGGGTACCCGGTATACAGCCAGCCCTCTCAAACTTGGCTTTTGGTGTACACACTAGCATTATTGGGAACCCCCCATGAGAGCCCCCCTTAATGTACATGTGTTTATAGAAATTATATGTTCATGTATACCAGGGGCTGATATACATGTATTGCCAGGCCACAATGCATTGCACTGGACATGTACATTTCAAACTGTGAACAAGGCTGTAAATTGCATTAAAATGCTCACCTGTATATTTTTCATAATGCCCCCATAGAGTATAACAAGGTCCCTCTGGCTGGCCATATCTGTCAAATTCTGTGACCAGTTGTAAGGGTTTGCTTCTGATGGTGACATAAAGCTATTAGCCCTATTGTATAACAGTGGGGGGTAACCCAACATAATTATCAAGAAGTCTAGTGGTAGGGGTAACCAAGTGCGGTTGGTAAACACACAAGTTGTAGCAAATCCCCATTGCACTGGAGTACCACTAGCTACATTTTGTAATGAAAATTAGCATTAAGTGTGCTTTTTCTTTATTTTCCAGAGGTTACCGCGATGTCTGGTGGTCCTGTCCCCTGTACAGACATGTAGAGGCTTCCAGACTTCTGCTGACACCTTACGGCCAATGGTGCCTATAGTGGTGGAACAAACGGTAAGACTTTTATATTTGGGGCTCAAAAAAATATTAGTACTAATAGTCTTTCCCGTATAATACCTGCACTGATGCAGGTAACATTGAAAATTACCCGCACTACAACACGTATGTGTATGGATCATGCTAAAAACTGTTCAGACAGACGTTCAGAAACCAAATCTATACAGTAAGTGGTAACAGTCAATACAGAAAATCAAAATCTAGATTGGCCTACATTTCTGTACCTGTATTATGTAATATATTATTAAGTAACGTTACATTATATAACTAGAAAGGCCAATATTTGCTTTGGAGCAAATACAGCGATGGGTTCACCACATTTTACGACATGGCAGGGAAAGAATGAGAAACACAAGGGAAAACAATGATTTACATTGATATAACTATAATATGAAGTAACATACAACTAAAACAACAGTTGGATAGCTATTCCCTACTTTATTGGTTAGGATTTTTAATTGCATAATGCAAACTGTTGATTTTCAAAATAAAAAAAAACGTTCATGCCCGGCATTCCAATGCTGGAGCAGAAAAGCTTGAAATACCTACCAAAGCCACTTGAATAAAGACATACTGTCAGTATGGAAATGCTCTGTGCAGGTGTTAATCAAGTTAAATCCCAACAGCCAATCAGCAAGAAGTATAGAGGAAAGCTGCATGCCTATTGGTTGATGCCCTGCATTCCATTGTGATGACTCATGCCCAAACGTGGTAAACACGGCACACACTAACACAGTAATACATTTGCTATAACACAGTCAAAAAACTCAAATAAAACCATTCTAAAAGCCTGTATCACAAAAATTTAAAAAACGCCTAGGGGTATTTGCCCACTGTACCTCCATACCAAATTTCAGGACCTTAGGCCCTAAAATGAAGAAGCTGAATCCATTTAAAAAATGGCAGGAGAAGAAGAAGAAGAAGGAGGAGAAGGAGGAGAAGAAACATCAGAAAAAGCAATATGGGTTCACCACCACTTCGTGGTGTGGTGAACCCATAATTATCATATTTATATGCTCAGTACATGGACCAGTGCAGGTTAGGTGCAGGTAGATATTAGAAATACCTGTACAGCTCCAATTTTACTAAAGTATATAATATACAGGTGGTATTTCCAGCCCAGAGACTAATGTTTTCAAAATTAATTTTTTTTCCTCTGTGTCAGCCTCTGTTTATCACTTTTACTTATTGTTGTTTAGCCTATGTGTCAACTGTTATTAAGATTAAAAGAAAAAATAATTAATTATTAACCTCTTTGTTAATACCTGCTGTTTAGGGACGTGGAGAGAGAGCCTATGACATCTACTCACGTCTGCTGAAGGAGAGAATCATTTGTGTCATGGGCCCTGTGAGTATTATAAGAAAAAAAAGGGATTTGAGATATTCATTACAGTTTTATTTTGTGGTGTCTCTCTCCACCTTGAATGATGACACTACTGTGAATGTACTTTTGTGCCACAGTACATACTCTCTCCTCAAGGTCCTCTTATATCTTCTTCCTCTTCCTCCTGCTGTACTCCCTACCCCGGGTGCCAGACTAGTATCAGGCCGTTAGCCGTTTTCCTTTGGCAGCCAAGAGCCCTTTGCGCCTATCTAAATTACCACTACAGGAGGGATTAGCCCCCTTTAGTTTGGCTGGCCCTATTACTAGTAAGCCAGACTGGTAGTGAGGCCTAATAGGGCGGGCCAAACTCCCCCTGTGCTCAGCTCCCTTGTAGCAATGATTTAGATAGGCTGGCGAAGGGCTCTTGGCCACCGAAGGAAAACTGCTAGCAGCCTGATTAGAGCAGTGTACCTAAACAAATTTTAGGTACAGGTACAGGTACAGGTACACAGGTTTAGGTACAGGTCTGGACCTGAACCTGTACCTGAACAATTTGACCAATTAACATGCTCTTTTGAACTCCTTCAATGACAAGAAAAACATGAATAAACTTGACAGTTGAGGTTTAGTTTTTGTTTCTGGAGAATGCTCAGACAAAATATGGGCAAAACTAAGATGTTTTTATCTCCTACACTACAGTAAGTACTTGTAGCCTCATGCAACTCAAACCTGACCAAAGTGACATCTAGAGGGAGCGAAACATGAACACAAATTAATGTCCTTACTTTGGGACCCATGGAGGACCAGCTATTTACATTTTAGGCCACAAATAGGCATAAAATTAGTGTGAAATCGTTTAGGTACGGTACCGGTACTGAGGGATTAGGTATTTTGGACCTGTACCTAAGCAATTTATTCCAGTACAGTATCAGTACTGCATACCGGTACACAGCTCTAGGCCTGATACTGGTCAGGCTTCCAGGGAATTTGAATGTGCTCCCTTCTGACCCCTCATCACTGTCACTCACAGACCCACTACAAGGCGCAGTGATACAGTTTGCATCTAACTATAGACTTAGAACACCTCTTAGAATACCACCAAAATTTCTCTCCCCTCTCTTACACAGAATTCAATTCTTAAAATCAGAGAAGAACAGCCAAGTTGTAATGCTTACTTGCATCGTTGTGTTTGTGTAGAAACATTGACCAAACTTGTTATGAATGTTTTTTTTTTTCAGATTTCAGATGAGATGTCCAGTCTTGTAGTGGCCCAGCTTCTATTTCTGCAGTCAGAGAGTAACAAGAAACCAGTTCACATGTACATCAACAGTCCTGGTTAGTTGTGAAAAACTTATACATGTCATTTAGTTGCATAACTCACAGTCTCTTTATTTTTATCAGGGTTTACAAAAAGTTCTCACTGTCTTATCTTAATGCCGACAAGTTACAGTAAGTGTATGGTACAATACATTTTGTACATCTCTCTCTCTCTCTCTCTACCCCCAAAACTGGGGGTTAGCTACTCTCACCAGTAAATAAATGTCTAGTTTTCCATTTTTTAATACCCAGGTGATCATGATAATGATCATTCTGGCATACTCATTTTCACCTGAGCGAAGTGAGCAAAGTCATGTAAAGTGCCTTTCCATCATGTAAAGTGCCTTTCTCAAGGGCACATTGTCAGTGACTTGGCAGGATTCGAGCCCGGGACCTCTTGGTTCTGAGCTGAATGCTTCGCCATTACGCCATAGGACCCCACCCTATTGCAAATGTTACAGTACAGTTATTCTGCCCCCCTCCCCTCCCAGGTGGGTCTGTGACAGCTGGGCTGGGGATCTATGACACCATGCAGTACATCCTGCCACCTGTCAACACCTGGTGTGTGGGGCAGGCGTGCAGTATGGCCTCCCTCCTGCTGGCAGCTGGGACACCTGGCTGTCGTCACTCTCTACCCAACTCTCGCATCATGATCCACCAGCCACACGGACAGGCCACGGTACACACACAAACAACATAGAATAGATGTTTTATTTATTTAATCATTAAGGCCACACCAATTTAATTTCTTGGTTAACAGATTTTTCTTGAAAAATAATGGAGCGGGCGGGCAAAAAAAAAATAACTACAGGCCTTCATGGCTCCTATCTACCATTTTAGGCCATAATAGGATGCCTAGGCTGGTTCAAAATTTAAACAAGGAATTTTGAACTTTTAATGATACCACTGCATTGAAAGATGTAATAACTGTAACAACTAGGAAGAAAGGGACTGTTTTCAACTGTTCAGGGCAAAATATGAGCATTTTGCGGTTGATTCTGATTTTTTATTTTTTTATTTTTTTGCAAATCAGAAAAAAATGAAGCAGGCGAATCCGTTAACCAAGAAATTAAATTGGTGTGGCCTAAGACAGTTGGGTTATCCCTGCAACTTGTAAAAGTTGATTTCCAAAGGGGCCCAGGATACAGGACAAGACATGTAGTTGGCTCCATGGAATGCATATTGTAAACCTATTCACATACATTGTATGTAGAGCAATGAGGATTTTGCTAAGTCATAAATTATACAAACGTAGTCTGTAAGATACTGTAAATCTTGCAGTGTGATTTTATGTTCATGTTTTTATGTATTTCTTGAGTTTTTTTAACTCTATTAACACTCAGAATCGACCCTAACATGCACAATGTCATGCACAAACACCAAACACGTACACACACACACACACACACACACACACACACAGACACACACTCACACACACTCACACACACACACACACACACACACACACGCACACACACTCACACACACACACACAGACACACACTCACACACACAGACACACACTCACACACACACACACACACAGACACACACCCACGCACACCGACACACACTCACACCGACACACACTCACACACACACACACACACACACACACACACACACACACACACACACACACACACACACACACACACACACACAGATGCCTGCATGTTTAGTACATACTAAAAGTTTTTTTTTAATCATCTTCCACAGGGCCAGGCATCAGACATTCTCATCCAAGCAGAGGAAATCAGCAAGTTAAAACAACAGATCAACAAGTTGTATGTAAAACACAGTGGACAGGAGCTTTCTGTGATAGGTAAATACAAATGTACAATAACTGGGAAACACACAAACTTGGTTGAAAAGGTTTGATTTTACTTCCATGTATAGAACTATTGTTGTTTACTGAAGGAACATATTGTTTTTACTCAGTTTCTTCCTCTTCTGTTCCAAACACTAACCTGTGACCTGGCCAATGACATGATTTGTTGACGTCTGTCACCATGGTGACTTGGATTACATACATGTAATGTTGCAATTTCATGGTCTGCTCTGCTCCTGTCACCATATACTAGTAGTACATGTACATGAATGTGAATGTGTTTGAGTAAGAATTAACAGAGCAGACCATGTCCGAGGTAAACATTGTGCATTTGCTTTGCAAATGTCACTTCTCTAGTTTTGGATGTTTTTGTTTTTTTGTTTGCATGAGTGTGTGTATGCAAGGGCATGAGTAGGTTGACAGCACATGGGTGGCAAGATTAACAGGCAGATTAACAGGTCAAAGAATCTGGCCAGGAGCCAGCAAGAACACAGCTAAGTTTAAGTACCATGGTACATGTAGCTAATGTGATGTCTGTTAATTTTGATATTATATTTTTTGCTGAATGTGCCTTTCTTTTTCCTTATTGCTAGGTGGAAATATTCTACATTTGCTCACAACTGCTTGCTACTCTAACACAGTTGTTACACTTCCAGAGCAATCCATGGACCGGGACCGCTTCATGAGCCCCACAGAAGCCGAGGAGTTTGGTCTGATTGACAAGGTGCTGGAACACCCACCACTGGACAAAGCAGCGGTGTCCTCTTCATAGTCCATGATTGGTGGACACAGATTCACCCTTTTTCTGTATTTATAAGGTGCCTGGTTAGAACTGAATTTAAGTGTCCAAATGTTCTACTAATTATTTTGAGGAATCATTCATTTACAATTAAAGTAAGGCATTAGCAAATGTGAGATACCATAAGACAAATTGACGTAGTTGTAGTAATATAGTGGAAAGTTGTAATAAATTATAAAATGGTTTAAAGCTGTCTTCTCAGAGCTCTATTTATGATGTTTTTTTTAATGTTAAGAAGTGACAACAAGCTACAATGAGTAACTGTTGTATTACTTCTGAGTACAGAAGTACAAAATTCATGCCCATAGCCAGGATTTTGAATGGGGGGTTCTTCCCACTGCTCGAAGGGACCTCGAGCGCCGAGGGGCGAGGTTTCTGGCGGGGTCCGGGGGCATGCTCCCCCAGAAAGTGAAAAATGAACCTTCTAAAATGGCATTTCGTGAAAAAATCAGAGATGAATTTTTATTCAATGACAAAGGGAGCAGTTTTTCTACGATTGAAGTCCATCTTTTCAAGAAAAATCTTGGACCTTTACATAAAAAGTGGACCTTTACATAAAAAGTGGACCTTTGAGCCTTGTGGGGGGGTTCTTCCGAACAGCTACGGGCAATTCATTTTATTTGTTTGGGTTTGTGTGTGTATGTCTGGACAGAGTAGGTTTAGGGGAGGGAGCAGTGAATGAAGCTTCCATTGGGATTCTATGGTGAAACCACTAGAAACAAGCACTTTAAAACACATTTACCTTTTTATTCCAAACCTCAAGTCAATACCCCCACTGCAAAGCTGAATTTGTCAGGTTTCTTTTGGTACAAATAGTGGAAGTTCGACTCCTGCCTTTTAATGAGATACAGCCCAAATGATACCTGGATTTCACCCCCTGTCCAAGTGGGACAGTCCATTCAGGCAGGACCTATTTCGGGGTCGATAGAAGGTCAAGTCTTGCCAAAGGTCAAGATTTGGGTAGATTTGAAAAATATACATTCTTCTGTCCTCCTTACCACAAAACTGGGCCTTTCTGAGCAAAATTTGCCCAGGAAAAAAATCATTTCAAAAACAAGAGTTCCGAGATCTCATACCTCCATGAAATATGGGCTTGATATGCAAATGTAAATTTCTTCTTCAATTACGCAAATGACCTCTGCAAAACAATACCTCCATTTTTCATGGAGGTAACAAAGTCTAAGACTCTCAGCTTGTCTTCCTTCATGTAATACCAAATCAATATAGACCTACAAACAGTTGTAAATGTTACTGTCAGCTTATATTAACGAACAATGCTGAAATAGTACAATGTATTCGGAAAAACAACAGTATCAAAACTACAAAAACAGTTTTCAATCAAACTTTATATCTAAATCACGAAATACGCATGATATCATAAAAGATGTAACGCTAAGTCAATTTCCGAACTTACGCTCTGACTTGAATAGTTTTAGAACCCAAAGCCTTAATCACAAAAACAATGCATGAATAGACATACTCATTTTCACCAGCGTTAAGTGAGGAAATTTGTGTAAAGTGCCTTTCCCAGGGGCAGAAAATCAGTCGCATGGCAGGATTCGAAATCGGGACCTCTTGGTTGCGAGCGGAACGCTCTGTCATTACGCCACACGATCCCACAAACAGTGTTGCCAGATATACTAGTATTTGTCTGATTATAGAATATTCACAATTTTATATCTATTTATACATAGTCCTTAAAACAAAACATACACACAGAAGCCTCCTTGACACAGGATCTTGACTCGATTCTAGAGTCTAATTGAACACACAGAAAATATAAGCGTTTCAAGCAAGATAGCCATAAGTAACAACTTTTTACATCCAAGCATCCCTATCAATGCTTATAAGCTTATGTGAGCCAGTTACACTATCAGATCTACGGTTGTTGTTAACATTACAGCCATTGGTGTGCACAGGTCGGGTGTTACACGCCTTGGGTACTGGATATTGACGACCCGTATACGTCTTGGGACTCTACCTCGTCTTGGGCATGCTGAAGCCATGTCGGCTGGTCGGCTGTACCGACCGCAAACCCTTTGGTCCTGCTGTAGAATACAAATATTTGTTTTAACCCTACCTAGACCGGGGGGGGGTC